GCTTCACGACTGCTTATAAGCTTTCTCCCGTTGACGGTGTCTGTTGTTGTAAGTGGTTGGGCATCTTCGCCTGCGTCTTTTGTGCACTCACATAAAAAAAGTCCCACTTTCGCTGCCCTGCCTCTTGTGCCAGCTTGTTGGATTTCGCCTGTAGATCTTCGAGTTTGTGTGACATTAGACATAAATCATCATCGATGAAATCAAAATCTTCTTAGGTCTTCTCATCGGTCAGACAGCGGATGTCCATCTTCTTGCTCCTCACAGTTTGACGCATGATCCGATCCAGTCGAGTCGAGTCGACCACAAAGAGGAAAATGATGGGTCATAGTAGGCAGCCTTGTCTTACTCATGTCTTCACTTCACAGGCATCACTGAGCCTTCCACTGTGAATCACTTGGCATGCAGCGTAATATGGCATACAGTTGAAGTTGAATGAGGTTGATAAAGGTTTGTGTCACTGAAACCGTAATGTTGAAACAGCTGGCAAACTACTTCTCGGTCGACGCTATCGAAGGCCTTTCAAGAGTCGATGAAGACGAGGTACAGGTACAGTGAACTGCCATGCTATACTGTGTTGTATGATGATGCGTAGCATAGTGTTGCAGTTTGATCCGCACATGATTTGTTCTTCCTGAAGGCAGCCAGTCAGCCATCCTGTTCCGCTCGTAATTTTGAATCCAGAGCAGTTTTTAGTCTCTCTAGGATGACGCGGCTCAATATTTGCTTGAGGTCGACAGGGGTGGAGCATGATTCCGCGCCAACTCTTGCAAACATTTAGGTAACCCTTCTGCCAATCAACGGGCCGGTACCTTTCCTTCCTTCCAAGTCTTCTGCAATAGTGGCGTGGTGTGAGCATGTCCGCTGTTGTCTCTGTATCTGTTTCCAGTGCCTCTGAAGAAATTCCATCTGGTCCTGCTGCTTTTTAGGCTCTCAGCAACTTTGTGGCATTCAGGACTTCGGCTTTTGTCGGAGAGTTTGTGTTCATTGATAGTTCTGTGTCTGCTGGTGAATACTACCAAAACAAATGCAATAAATTACTGAAACCTAAAGAATAGATCGATTAGGGCTACCTCGGAACAAGATGGGAGTCATTTCTAACTGCTCATATATCAGCGCAGAACTATTCTTAGCAGTAGGGATGCACAAAACAAAATTGATCGCAGAGTGGAAGAGGTTTATTAAGTAAGTTGTAAGCAGTACTCATGAGATATTACAACATTGCTTTCAATAATGCCCAAGTAAACAATAAGTGCAAATCACTTTGCTCTCAGCTAAGTTCTACTCACTGTTTTCTCTAAAACCTATGCCTAATATTTTGGAGTTACCTATTACGTCATAATATATACTACTTACATTCATCCTTTTAAGTAGTACATATCTTGGTAGTAGTGTATCTCGTTAATTTATGACATTTTCGCATCAGCGATCAATAAAATGATACTGGCTGCATGGCTTGCAATGAAATCTTCTGTAACGGTATAGTTGACTAATTTAAAAATTACCCAAATGAAAGAAATGGTAACATTGTCTATAATGTCTGCAAAGGAATTTATGGATTCGACACCTATTCCATCTCATGTCACAATATACCAATGACCTAATCAGATTCAGCTGATCCAAACGTTCTAGTCACTTCTGTGGTGTGGATTTACCAGGATAGCTGGTTGGATGTCTCTAATCTTCAATGCCTACAGCACTCTGATGCCACTAGTGAGATCTTCAGATCACAGAGAATGATTCGGAGTTTGCTTCTTGTTGCAAAATACAGTTAGTTATCCTCAGAAAAAAATAGTAAATCACAATTCTTACTAAACATAATGCGTTGACATCCGCTGGGGAAACATTTTAATCGTGAAGGCACTGAATAGCTATTTCGTCCCAGTATGGGACTCGTCAGGAGAGCGCACTCTTGACACCTCACCCTCCAGCGAACGAACCTAGGACCTCGAGGTTCTACGACCAGCACGTTATCACTTAGGCACTGTCAGTTCACAACATAACCCAGACTTCTTTACACCCCTTACCCTCAAGTTAAAGATTTTTCATCAGCTGATGCCACATCGTGATGAATATCAGCTTGAAGTCAGTAAATCCCCACAAAACCTTCAGATAGAAATAATTTAGCACTCATTCGTGACCAGCTTCTAATATTAATTCCTATAGGTCTAATGAGAAGTTGTGAACCAGTGAAGTCAACTAAGTCGAACATGAGAACAGTTACTCAGTGACGAAATTGGATGTAGGTCGCGTTATATCGTAAACTGAGAGAAGTAGGAAATATAGAGCATTGGATTTTGACTCAGTGGCTCAATGGAAACGTGCTGGCCACGGAAACTTGAGGTTCTGTACCCATAAGTAGATTTGTCAAAGTACATTATTAGAGCGACAAACTGGTTTAATAGTAACTGCACGATTAATTCCCTGCACCATAGTGACATACATTTGTGTATTACTCTGTTCTGCTGGATGAATTTGAAACAAGGCCATTAAAGATAGAGGAAATGAGAAGACTTCATTCAGGTGTCCAACCATCGTGTCCTTCGTGGCATACTCTTTGAATAGTTGTGTCACCATGAAAGTAAGGCAGAAGTCAGATGTAGAATTTCAGAGAGGAGAATAAAGTTAATCAGTGAGGTTGTGAACCTTAATTCACTCAGGTGACTAAGATATTGTAGCGTCACACACTTCCCCAAAATCAATAGCCTAGGGTTCGACGACATTCAACATTGATGCTGACCTTGATAGTTTAACTGGACTCACTAAGCTGAAGGCACCCGGTCAAGCATCCTCACCATTCGACATGCTGTCGTGTTACGTTGCACTGCTCGTAATCGACTCTCTAGCCAATTAGTCGGAACGCATCGGTATCTTGGCATGGCCTCGAAAATACACTATTCCATCCGGCTACGCTATTATGTTCTTCCTTCGCCTTATATTCGTGGGTACGTAAAAAGTTCGAATAATCGGCGATTGGCTTTTGCGTCTGTCAAGTTCGCACCAGAACAACTCCTAGAGGATGTGTTAAGTGTGCTTAGTCAGTGTCATCATGAGTGATAAATTGGATGACTTAAACACCATGGAATTTCAGTAGGTCATCTTTCTTCTTGTTTTTATTGTTGGTTGCCTAAACAACCAACAAATTCACTTACTAGATTTCCAACTTTTACTCTCATAATCTCAATCTTGGCAACCTGGGACATAGAACAAGTTGGCTATCATATTACATAACCAAACTTTCTCGTCACGTATTAGTTTTTTCAGCATTGTATGTTAGATATGCAAATTGAAAATGTAATACCTAAATGATAAAGCATTAAAATGGATTATCAGTATTATCCATGTATCCAGGTTTTTTAAAAATGGTGAAAGCTTATCTTCTTTCGTAGAATTTTGGAAACATATATTGACTACTTGTCAGTAGGTTACTCAGCGTGAAAAATATTGGTCTTACATATATGCGTAGTTACGGTACGGCTGCTATTTTTCACGGATTGATATTGATTGAAAGAACTTCGAAAACCAAGGCGCTCTGGAGAACACTTCTGTTCTAGAATAGGAAGGACTGCATAGCAGTGCTATCCCATAACTTCCACCCTCCACAGATGGAACTCAGTACCTCCAAATCTTGCAGTAAGTGAATTAACCATTCAGCCATTGGGTTCTAGGTGTGCAATGTAGAGAAATTATATGCTGTCAGGTTTCCAACTCTCCAGTTCCCATTAGTAAAACGCTAAGAGCTGGCTATTCCAAAGTTCTCATCTGAAACCATGATATATGGCATCAACCAGATGGAAGTTGAACGGATGCCAACTGAAAATCTTGGTAGATATTCGCGAAGTAAGAAACATTGGTCCATTGGACTCCAACCCAATGACTGAATGGTTAAGGCATCTGCCGCGAGGCCTGAATGTACTGTGATGAATGCTACAGCAGAAATATAATCCCCGTACACCTCGAACTATATATATATATATATATGGGCTTGTCAATATATACATCGCTTCGTCCTATTTGGGACTCGTCAGTTGGGTGTACCTGCTTCCCAGTGAGTATTGTTGTTCCCACCGGGATTCGGACTCGGGGGCGATCGCTTCAAACGCCAGCGCGTTATCCACTACACCACCGAGACAAGATAGCCACTTCTTGTGCGACGGGTATAGTTTTTTTTAGTATAATCGTTGTTTTTTAATATGATACAGTCGTTGAATGGACCGAATTGATCGGTCTCTATTTGTATATGGGCTCTTATGCGGAAACCTCGATATTGCCAGTGTTCTAGTTACGTTAATGATGGTGTAGTGGATGACGCGCTAGCGTTTGAAGCGATCGCTCCCGAGTCCGAATCCCGGTGGGAACAACATCACTCACTGAGAAGCAGGTACATATCCAGCTGACCAGTGAGTCCCAAGTAGGACGAAATGCGCATCGTGGATTCATTCCACTGCTAGCCACGATCCGTCATTAATACATATATCGTCTGGATAAATTTGCGTATATATGAGGATATTACCGTTACAGTGAGACAAACATGAACCTATTCCTCAGCCGTCAGTAACCGTTCATACTATATGAATTCTACTGCCTTGTCTTGTGAAAATTAACTTTTAAAATATGCGTGTTACATAATGGGCAATTAGTTTAACTGGTAGTAGTGCGACTAGCAGTAGTGTGTGGCAATAGTAGTGGTAGTACTGGTAGTAGTAGTGGTAGTAGCGTGAGTATATTATTATTATTACTATGTGTTACTACTATTATTATTATTAGTGGTAGCAGTAGTAGTAAGAATGAGAGGAGGAATACTGTTTATCTTGATGGATCATTAGTTTAAGCAGTATCGTGAGCATTAGTAGTAGTGCGAATTGTGATAATAGTAACAACAGTCTCAATTCATATCAACTTTGTAAAACTGCATGCAGTATAAAGCAATACTTCTAAATATTTTATTCCACATATATATATATATATATATATATATATATATACTTGATTAGAAATTTTACCTTGCACTATTGATTGCTTCAACCCACATGGAACACTCCTCTTCTGAGTCTGCACGTAGATCATACTGTCGAACACCTTCTTTACGATAGGAAATAGTGAAGTAGTTCTACAACAAAAGGTAGAAAAGTTGTGTAAAACTGTCATTATGATTGTTTTAAAAAAAAGATCTTAACATAGAAAAACGTACTACTATATGGTTTAAAAACTGAATAATGGAAGATACTACCGATAAAGGTTACACAATAGTTTATCTTAAAGTGAAATATGCACCAGGCATTATTGTTGCCAAATGGTCTCAGTATTCCAGTCTAGCATGTCGCTCCTAGTTTTCCGAAGTAAGGATAGGGGACTAGTGATCTGCTGTTGGTACTGCTATGGAGATTCAATCTCGCCTTGAATACATTAAGTTATCTAGTAGAGAGTTCCAGTAGTTCACAACTCTATGAGAAAAATGACTCTTTAGACATAGATGTTTCCAATATGTTTTGATGGTACATTCTGAAGTGAACAAAGTTACAGAAAACCACTGTGCATTCAGGCAAAATTAAGAGGTGGTTTGCTTCATCAGCATCCATCAACATAAGACCAGGCATTACTGCTTAACGCGGTCCAAGTTGCCACACCTTATATCAGTACATCAAGTGAAAAGGCATTGAAATGGAAGATGAAGAAGAGAAAACTCAGTTCAAAGAAATATAAAGTACTAAAAGAGAGAAAAGGAGAATGAGAAAATGGTGACATTCAGCATAGCGTCGTTAAGGTGAGGATAATATGTGTGTGTATACATCTGCAGCTCTGACATCGGTCCTGAGACGTATCACCTAGTTGTCTCCAGCCACTAGTTTCTCTCGTCCCAACCGGTTAGTCTATATCGTTCCACATGGCTCAAACCAACAGTCAACGACTTCATACATTGGTGTCATGTTTTAGTCTGATCACCTCGAGCCTTCTTCCAGCCTGAACCTACTTCAGCCAACATTGTGTGACGAGGCAATCGGCGACTAGGCATACGTAACATATGTCCCAACCATCTCAGTCGATGAAATTTCATAACCTCGTCAAGAAATTTAACTCTACTCCCTAAAAATCTATACCGGACGCCTGCATTACTCACGTGGTGTGGTGACACCACGGAATATGGTCTATACTACGCAGGCAACAGTGATTTGCTTAGCTAGATATTAGTTCACAAACTATGCACATCAATTCAGAGGACTTCTAATGGTAGTAAATTATAAATGACGTTTTCCACATACCCAATGTTGACATTGAGAATCAAAGCTTAAACTGCTCAGACAGGTAACTTCCTGTTGTCTTCATCAGTACGAATGATGACGTTGAATCATAATATGGACATACATAAGTCGTTTTCTACTATTTATCAGGTTCCTATCAACTTGCTAAAACGTAATGTGCTCCGAATCCGTCAAACTACGGAAACAGTAGAAATCGGAATCAAACAACTGGAGTTATATGTTCAAAAAAGCAAGTTTTTGAACGGAAACTACGGTGGTATCAATCACTATCAAAGGGGGAAATATAAAGGAAGTTGTCTCTTTCACCTGCCTACATACCTAGAAAGCAGCATCATCTCAACTACAGGCGGCACACACACAGATGACGATGTCAAAGCCAACCAGCCAGCCATCATCGGAAAGACAGTAAGACAGCCCTTCCTGCAATAATATGAAATCAATGTGGAGATCTACTGCATTGCACTGCAATGCACTGCACTTCACACAGCATAAAGCGTAAACAACATGTGGATTTTCAACACTAATTCATTCAAATCCGTGCTTCCGTGTGATGGCTGAGAGACTTGGCATGTCACGGAAAGCATTTCCATCAAACCAAAGATATACATGAATAGCTACCGTCTACGCTGACTCGATACTACAGATGGAGATCAGATGGCCAGAATAATGAGAATAAGCAAGAAGGAACTCTGGCCTTGCAACGAAACAACCAACCAACCAGCCAAAACTTATCACCCGAAAAGTATGCAGAGGAAGAAAGTGGAGGATGGGTTGGATTGGACATACGCTGAGAAGATGGTTTGGGGACATCACACACCAGACCAGGCCGTCAAGTAGAAGCGAAATGGGTAACGATGAGTTAGGCGTTCGAGGCTGACATGGAGGAGATGGTGTGAGGAAAAAATGAAAGCTTGTGGGTAGTGATAGGACCAGGTTGGAAAGATTGGATAGAAGAGAGTGAAATGGTGACATGCTACTGAAGCCCAATCTTCTACTCGGAACCCAAGGGACCAATAACAATCCATAAATATTTGTTACCAGGGGACAGATTAATTTTAAGCTTCATCAGTGTGAATTGGATAACTATTTGTTTATTAAGAATAATGGTATAAGTATATAGATGAAACGTAATCATAGGTCAGAGATCAGACAAGCTGGTAAAGATTATGAGTCTTAGTGGATGGTGAAGACGGAACAGGTAGCGCAATAACTCTGCCATCATATTACATAGATACAAATACAAGATAACCACCAGTTCCTAGTGCACACAGAGATTTCCATCTACACACTAGGATTACACAGGCTTCGAAGTATCCCTTTTTCTTTAACTCGCTTCCAAAAGTCATTCACATAGATGATTCTAGTATACTTTAACAGAACTATTTGAAATCTTCCTTTTTTTGTATGATTTAATCATTCGGATAAATGTTCAAGCATGCTATGTAGTGATGACTGAATTCCGACTCAGTGACTCAATGGTAACGTGCTGGCCACGGAACTAGAAGGTTGTGGGTTCGATCCCTGGCGTGGCGGGGTCGTGGGTGCGCATTACTGATAAGTTCCGTACCTGGATAAAACAACTGCTGTGTAATGTTCTCAAGTTTCCAATGTTCCTCAGTTGACGCCAGTCTATGATGAATATCAACTTGGAAAATCATTAAATCCCCACAAACCCCCAAAATTCAATTTAATCTTTAACCATTTACTAGTTCATTTACTTATCAGCCTAATTTTCTCAAGTATCTTAACTCACAAGATGTTGAAATGAAGCTGAAGACAAAAGGCTCTTGAAAGGAATTATCGTATGCAGTCTAAAAAGGTGGAACACATGAAGCAAATGAAAATAAAGACGTTGTTTTTTCTTTTGAGAGGTTTTACAGATTAATTTATATATGTGTGTGTGCGTTCGTGCGTGTGTGGGATTTGATCAAAACAATTTATAGTCTATCAGTAAGGAAAATTATTCAGTATTCCAACCAATTTCATGTTGCCTAGTCCTGAGTGCAAACCGAATTCTATCCATCACATTTGCAATGTGCCAACCAAGCTAGGAAGCTCAGCATCGTGGTGCACATTAGTAGATGTTAGTTGATTGGAGGCAATCGGCAGGAAGCCCTGAAAGTAGGTTTCGTGATTTTTGGCACTCGTCAGCAAGGCGTATCTGCAATCTAGACGGAACTTATGTCCGGCCTGAGCACGAAACTTAGGTTCAGGGCTTCCTGCCGATCGCCTACAATCAACTAACATCTACTAATGTGCACCACGATACTGAGCTTCCTAGCTTGGTTGGCACATTGCAAATATGATCGATAGAATTCGGTCTGAACTTAGGACTAGACAACATGAAATTGGTTGCACTCCCGTCACCAATCAATACATATAAGCCAGTCCTACAGGAGATGAATCGCGGCCCGAATAGCTGAGTGGTAAAGTCGCTGACTACAATACTGGGTGAGGCGGTTTCGAATCTCGAGTGGGATATCAGTTCTGTCGAGGTTACAAATATGCCTTGTTGACAAATGCCAAAAAGCACGAAACGTAGGTGAGGGAGGGTTTCCAGCCGATTGCCTCCAACCAAGTAATATTGTGATATTTTACTTGGTTCTGAACAATAATTGTTCGACCTTTGTTTTCAGGAGGACATTCATGATGTTATATGCATTCTGATGACTAACAGTAGAATTTAGGAAGTGTATTTCATCCTATACGGGACCCACTCATCAGCTGGATGGATCGCCTTCATCAAATACCGAAGCGTTGTGTCCTGAATGGAACAACTTAACTCTGCATAGCAATGGGGAATTACAGGTAATAAACAATAACTAGTACTCGTTGCAATTTAAGGGTTTGAATCGATGAATACTAAGTTTAATTAAGTCTTGGTAGGAACTTACTGAGGTGAGGGTAAATCCAGCTATCGAAAAGCAAATAGACCGAAACGTGTATCACTAAGATGAATATAACCACATTACTATTGATGTAATATGATGATGTGATAACTCTTCTCATCAACTCAGATATCCAGGAATTTCGTGGAAAAACTGTTACACAATATTAGTCGTGCATAAATTAACTGAATAGACCGACAACTGTGTCGATCACCTACAAATTCAGTTATAGTTTGATGAATATTTACCAGAAATATATATACTACCTCAAATTTAGCAAAGTTTGGTAGTATACTTCACTTGGAAAAGTAAGTTAGCAAATTTGTAACTTGATTAAACACTAATCAGTACTCTTCACAGCTAAGGAATTATGCAATCATTCAGTTATGTAGTCAGTATGGTTTTCAGTAGGAATAGGGTAAGATTATATAAAAGGCAATGATGCTTAGCATAAAGACTTTGAGTGGTGAATAAAATATTTCAATACCACCACCAGTACTACTATTATTATCAAATATAAGTAGTATGTAACTAGCCACCGCATTTTAACCATTGTGTAACAAAGTAGTGTGAATACTGTTTGATTACTTTGCTTTTTTAGAAATCCTATAATTGACCTAAAGTGTTATAGTATACAACAGACCGTATAAAAACTTAGAAAAGTATTCATCCGACTTATCATCAAAAAAAGCACTGAACTAATTCAACTGAAGTTGATGCGTTACATCGCATTCAAAGAGCGAAGATATTAATTACTATGCACTGATTACTCGATGCATTACAGTAGTAAACTCAATATCAAATATATATATATATATATATATATATATATATATATATATATATATATATATATGAGAACAGAGATGAATGATAAAGTTTACGATCTAAACAACCAGTACAGGGAACAAGTAACAACAAGTCAGACTGTAAAGTTGATCAGTAAACACGCCGCAAAAAAT